CTTCTCCAAACTAAATATGGCCTGCACATCCACACGTAAGTATATCATTCAAAATTGGACACTCATGACAGGTAATAAATGTTAATTAACCTTCTCATCCATTGAAGTCTCACAGTTGCAATGATCAACCGCACACTCGACCCAGACGGAGTTCAAAACCGAGCTAAACGTGTATTGAAGCGCCGTGTGTTCAAAACCCCTGGACCCAACTTCATATGGTCGGCCGATGGACACGACAAGCTCAAGAAGTTTGGAATCACCATCTATGGGTTCATCGATGCATGGAGCCGCAAAATCTTGGGGCTATTTGTCCATGTCACCAACAACGACCCCCGTCACATTGGATACTACTACCTCCAACTTGTGAAACGAGAAGGTGGCATCCCACGACGCACCACTACCGACAAGGGAACCGAAACGATCCAGATGGCTGGCCACCAAATCAACCTCACCGAGGAATTCAATCATGAGTGCCCCGACCCCAGCCAGTCCCACCTCTTTACCAAGAGCACCCACAATCAGAAGATCGAGTGTCTCTGGTCCCAGATGATGAAGCAATACAACTGCGAGTTAATCAACCACCTTTTCGAAGCAATCGAAAAGGATTGCTATGACCCTAATGACCCGGTTGAGTAGTAAGTTTCCCTGTGTCCTTCTGATTTTCCCGACTATTTCTCATAATTCTGATTGACATATTCTGCACATGGCCAGTCTCCTCTTCATATACCTGTGGGTTCCACTTCTTCAACAAGGCCTGGATGACTGGACAAACAACTACAACAACTACAAACGACGATGGGACCCAAAAAGCATGCTCCCCACCCGGTGCAGTGCAGAATGGTGCTACAAATATCCAGCAGAAGTAGGAGGGGAGCAAGGTCTTATTTGTGTGCCGCAAAACGCTGTCGAAGCCCTTGAAGAAGAATTTTATCCGGAGGCTGCCGAGATGATGGATACGTCACCCAAATGGTTCTCGGAATCTATCAAGGAGCTGCAGGTTGGAATGGATCTGACAATACCTCCGGTTGACATCCACAACGTTTGGGATACATTCTCACTACTTCTCCAATCCATCCGAGATTATGATTCAGCCTGGCTGGATGACCCCTCAAATGAGCCATCACAAACCTTTGCCTCCCGTGCATCCTGAGATCTGATCTGTTGTTTCTTATTGTTGTCCACCTGAAATGAAGCCTGGTTGTATCTAACAGGAGTGGTTCCTCTGTATGTGTGGTTAAATAATACCTCAGATCTTTTCTCACCACTACAGTGTTAGTCATCTTAATGATGATTGCTTCCTTGTCACCCAAGACATCCCTTTAATTGGTGTTGCATGATATCCTTGGTGGATGAAGGCTTCATCGGCCAAGGCTCCAAATCTGGTTGGTTGGCATGAAAACCCTCGTTGACAAAGGCTTCATCAATGATATCCTTGGTCGATGAAGCCCTCATCACCCAAGCGGTAAATTAAGGTTGGGTGGCATGGTATCCTTGGATGATGAAGCCTTCATCACCCAAGCCATCAATTAAGGTTGGGTGGGATGATATCCTTGGCCGATGAAGCCTTCATCACCCAAGCCATCAATTAAGGTTGGGTGGGATGATATCCTTGGTCGATGAAGCCTTCATCACCCAAGCCATCAATTAAGGTTGGGTGGGATGATATCCTTGGTCGATGAAGCCTTCATCACCCAAGCCATCAATTAAGGTTGGGTGGGATGATATCCTTGGTCGATGAAGCCTTCATCACCCAAGCCATCAATTAAGGTTGGGTGGCTTGATATCCTTGGTCGATGAAGCCTTCACCGACCAAGAAAAGTTTGTTTATGTATGGGATATGGGCATGGTTTCATGGTACATACCTTGGCTGACCTCACCTTGCAGTTTTGGATGATTTTAGAGTTTATTGTTAAGGTTTATGCACCTCTGCAAGGTGAGGTCATCATCACCCAAACCCACTTATATCGAGATAGCATCTCAAGTTGGGACAGTCAAAATCTTGAGAAGAACCAACTAAAACGACAACATTTCAAATATCGACTAGGAAACAACCGAAGGGATCTGAAATGGCCGAACTTTTAGGTAAGAAACAAGTCCCATTCATCACTCAACGGGCCTGGACCATTGACCCATATGCCTCTTGCAGAAGCACACATTGTTCAGCGCATGACCAAGCTCATGGAATTGGACGGGATGGCTGGTACCCACATCCGGGTCCTATCTAACTTGCGGTCATTTTACGTGTCCAAATATATCACGAGATTCCGAGCGGTGCATCCACAGATCCCTCTGCCCAACTGGATTGTGACGCTGGCTTCCCCTGGGGACCTGAGGCCATCCGACACCCAAGTCAGGGTGACCAATATGCGTGCAGATCTAGACGGTGAGACGAACAGGCCCCCAAGTCCGCAACAAGGCAACGTCATTTCAAATGAGCAAGAAGCCATGGACGGTGAGTGGTCTGACTCACGCTGGGTGATTTTTTCTTGATCCTAATGCATCATTGTTTGCCTTTCCCACAGAGGACCCACCTCGAAACGATGACAACCCATTACTTCCTCAAGCGCCTGAGATGACGGATATCCGACCTCCACAAGAAGATGTGGTACCCGTTCAAGGCCCTGACACGACCAAGGACGCAATTCATCATGACAAAGAGATGGATTTAACTTCCAGTGATGCAGAAGGCGAGGTTGATCCTGAGATCAGCTTTGATGTGGGCAATGGCCATGTTGCTCAATCTGGAAAAACTAAGGGGGCCACGGATGGCTCAAATACTGAGGGGACGAACATGGATAAACCGCTTTTCTTGCCAGAATCAAATCCACCTTCGGAGGACGACTCTCCACTCTGGGGTTCTAACCCTAAGGTTGGCAAATCAAACAGGAGCTGTTCACCTTTGTCTTCGCCTCCTTCTGCCTCCCTTTCAGAACCTGATAACCCTCAGCCTTCGCCACCAGCACCAAAGAATCCCCCTCTTGGTCTTGGGAACGTGGTCACCCTGGGCCAAAAGCGACCCATCACCCGCTCTTTGACAGGTGATGCCACTCGAAAACACCGCCCCCGTTTAGACTCACCAAGCCTGGCCTCTTCTGATTCCGACGATTCATCATCTGAGTCTGAAGAGGAAGAATCTCAGGGGGGCAAATCAGACCTCACACACCCGCCACCGTTGCCCACGTTTGGTCACATCCGTCAACCTCGCGATCAAACCCCGGCTGACAGTGATGAAGTTGACACTGATGGGCCCAATTCACCAAAGCCATTGCCGAAGACCGCAGTTGTCACCACGCCCAACCCCACACCGGCGACCACACCACTTGTGCCAGCCCCAACAAGCAGCAACACGGTCAATGCTGGCGCTCCAAATCACAGACCGGCTGGCACCGGAACTACTCTTGGAGGCGGAGGGCCAGATTTAACTGCTCACACAACATCAACAGGGCCAACTGCCCCCACTGAAGGGATGACTCCCACGGGGCCCTCTAGGGGGCCTAATTCCCCTCCCCTGAATAGTCCAACCACAAACAGCGGTGGAACCCCAGGGACAGCGGCGAAACATCCTACTCCGGGGACACTGGGCACCGACCCAACCTCCCGCCAGGTGCCCTTGCGTGAGCCATCACCAGGTGGGTCAGGCCTTTCTGAAAGGGGACAAAGGACGAGGCTAATGATGTTGTTTGCTTGCACAGACCTGTTTGTCCGGCTGCCTGTGGGGGATCTCAAATGCCTTGAATACTGGGAACAACACAAAGAGAGTAGGGTTGACCCAGTTAAAACGGCCAGATTCATCGAGAAAACACAATGTATCATTGGTCTGTTGCCAGGTCTCCTGGGTTACAAAAGTCCGGCAAGGCCGGCAATTGAGTCTCCTATGCTGAAAAATGTAAACCTTGTAATGGACCGCTGTAAAAGGGGTATGTTGCCACCTACTTGTCACATTGATCTGGGTTTATGCTGACCCAAAATACACTTGCAGACAATGTACTTCTTGGACACGATAGGGATTGCTTCATCGGAGTCGAATTTGTGAATCGCGCGTGCTTAGGCCCTAGGAAAAAACCGGGACAATCTTCCTCAATGTCCCTGCGGAGTGAACACCCTCTGTTTCCTATCATCAACTCCACGGCTGATCCGGTGCGTGGGGCGTGGAAAAGGCTGAACGACACCATCCACGATATCATAATGCTTCTTGCATGTCAAAGGGCCAACATGGTCATGGATGACCTCAAGGATGTTGATGGGCACTCTGATGCTGCACTGGCCAAAGTCATGGAGTTTTTCCATGACATCACCACTCGAGGCGCCGACGATCCGAAACCATCCCGCTCGAGGGTCCCTGATGGATCAGGAGATCTTAGCTCAACAGGTATGGGCCATATCTACACCAACATAGCCCTAGCAGTCACCGCCTTGATCAACCTACACTTCGACAAGAAGAGTCAGGAGAAGCCTGTGATACTGAAAAAAGATACCCACGAGAAGATGAACCGTACATCTACAAAGGCCATCCGGAGTCTATCACACCTACTAGTCTTTGGCCCGGTCTCAATGTTCTCATGCCCGACGGATCGAAAGTATTCAGCCCAGTGGCAATCCTGCATGCTTGTTGAATGGGGCGCAATGGTCGTCACGGAACGAGCACAGAATGCAGCCAACTTTCCAGAGCCCCCCTGGTCAAATTTTGGAAATACTCGTCTTCATATCATCAACGCACTATCACGTATGGGATTTGGGAACAAAGAACCCATGGATTGGAAGCACGTGATGAAGGTCTTTGAGGAGGACTTTTCCACTAAGAAACTCGCCGAGGTATTATGGGAGGACATTGTTCTGATGACGGACTATGATGTCCAAAAGGGGGCAACAGTTTTCTGGGCGGATGGCCCACCTTACCAAGTTCAACAAAGCTAGATTAAATCAATTGGCCCTGTAGATATTTATACTCTCATTTGCAATAACTTAAATTGCTCTTATCTCCTAGTGTATCCCATCAATGCTCATGTGAGAAGAGCAAATATCTGAATTCATAGGCAATCAACGTGTGTTATATCCTTACAAAAACATAAGAGTGAAAAGAAAAGCACAAACAACAAGCGATAAATGAAGACAACTACGGTATAAGTAAAAGAAATGATCTCCAAAGTAGTTGGCCACACTGTTGTATTTGCCTTGTTGGTACGCAACACATGCATTCTTCAATCCTAAATTGATTTGTACAGACATACCCAGGTGGGTAAATCGGGAGCTATGAGAGGATGGCATGGTACAGTGCTTGTATGAATTAGCCTGCCATATCATCTTGACCACACCGAATTGGTGATCAAAGTTGATGCCAAACTTGTGGTCAGGAAAAATGAAGGGACCAGACGTAATATCGTAGGAGTCTTCATCGGTGGCCAAAGAGCCATCCTTGGTGTGAGTTGGAAGGAACATGACAAAAGCGTATTTTGAGACGTCCTCGTCGTCAGTATGAGGTGGGTTGAAGAATCCATCGGTAGTGAAGGTGAGGTGAGGTGCACAATCGGATTCTGTGAGGTCTTCGCCATATTCCAAAGCCGCCAAGGATGGAAGGCCATGTTCAGCCATGAGGTCACGATTTGAGCCGAAAGGGATCTCCGCCAGCTTTTTGAAATTTTGACCAACAATTTGACCTACTCGACCAGATAGTGAGAATAGATCATGGTAGGCTTGAGCATGCACAGCCTCGAACGCCTTGATGTATCTTCCGGCGATCTGGTCTTCATCTGAGGATTTCCTCCAACCAATCCCCCACATCTTCCCACCCCATGCGCGTTGTTTAGACTTGACGTTGCTGATAAATCGGGTGGTCTTGCGGAGAAAGGTGGACACAAAGTTGAGCTCTTCTCTATCCGCTTCCGTGAGATCGGAGAATTTGGTGAATTCGATAATTGCAATGATTGATTTGGGATCTTGAGGGTCTCGTACGATATTGCAACCGGTCTTCAAGAGGCGGAATGTTTGGACAGTATCACTGGCCATGGCGATCTCTTCTGACGTTGGGGGTCTAGTGTATTGAAGTTTACCACGAACCAGAGCCCTTGGAATCGTTGGATAGATGTTCAGGGCATCATATTTCACATTCTGCCAGTAGAATTTTCGGCCAGAAGGACCAATGGCCGATTCCACTAGGGAGGCTCGCTCACGCCGTTCACGTAGGAGTTTGTTCTTGTGTTGAGATCGTTTCCTGGATTCATTTTTTTTTCTTATATGATCAATTCAAAGTCCCCAAATTATTCATACATTGGGATCCCATACATGTCACATATTAGAATTCAAGGGAAGCAAGTCAAATCAAAGGATGCATCATCAGTAATCCTGTTATCTATGTTAAATCAATGTAAATTATACCGTTTGTTCTTAGCCATTTGGTTGGATGTCCTTGAGCAATGACAGGTTGTAGGAAGAAGAGCCGGCCAAATGGTGTACCACTCAGCTAGCAATGAACAGATGTCAGTGGTGGATACACAATGAAATGATAGCTATGTCTCACTCACTAGAGAATTATGACTTCAGGTTCCCAGGGGCGCCCGGCTAATGCGTACAATGGCCACGTGGTTGTTCTGCAGCTGGTCACCGATGGAACAGGTGAGGATAGCTAGAGGTGGGGCCAGTGGGCTGAGGGCAACTAATTGCCAACCTATGTTAGCTGAGGGGTGAACAAGGTGGTAGTTCAGACGCAGGTGCAATCAAGAGGGTAGCTTCGTACCTATCGTTTTGGGGGTCAAAATTAACCAGCAATTCTGGGTAGCGAGAGGGCGACGTGACACGGCCTGGGGGTCTTCGGGTGCTTGCAACGTCAACAACCGCGTTGTTTGGACCAACAGAGGGGAGCCACCTCCTCTGAGCCACTACCATCGTTGATGGTAGTGGCTGCCAAGGCCAGAGCAATTCAACAGTGACAAAAACGGCCACTCACTCGCCTGAAGGTGGGGCGATCCAAATGATCGCTCCGGTCGATTGCTGTCCTCCTACACATCCAGAAAGAGGGAGGGGGGGGGTCGTCAGCTTGAGGCCCCCACCTCCTCTGAGCCTCTACCATCGGTGATGGTAGTGGCTGCAGAGGCCAGAAGAGAACAAAAGAGGAAAAGAACGGCCGACGAAGTCGGCCGCTCACTCACCTGAAGGCTGAGCGATCCAAATGATCGCTCCGATTGTTTGCTGTCCTACACAACCACAAAGAGGGGGGGGGGGTTGTCAGCTTGAGGCCCCCACCTCCTCTGAGCCACTACCATCGGTGATGGTAGTGGCTGCAGAGGCCAGAAGAGAACAAAAGCCGAAAAGAACGGCCGACGAAGTCGGCCGCTCACTCACCTGAAGTCGGAGCAATCCAAACGATCGTCCCGGTCGATTGTGGTCCTACACAACCAGAAAGAGAGGGGGGGGGGGTCGTCAGCTTGAGGCCCCCTCCTCCTCTGAGCCACTACCATCGGTGATGGTAGTGGCTGCAGAGGCCAGAAGAGAACAAAAGAAGAAAAGAACCGCCGACGAAGTTCGCCGCTCACTCACCTTGAAGCGGAGAGATCCCAATGATCGCTCCGATTGTTTGCTGTCCTACACAACCACCAAGAAGGGGGGGGTTGTCAGCTTTAGGCCCCCACCTCCTCTGAA